TGCTTGATGGTAGGAGCCTCATTGAGGAGCTGCTGAGGTGCATTTCTGCCAATCTTGAGCTCATGGCTCAAAGAGCAGACTTTCTTCAGGGTGATAGACTTCTTCTGTACGTTGCATCATGTAAATGTTCTGAGCATGAGGGGTGCCACCAGCCAATACTCTGGGGCTCGCTCCTTTGCTGGTATTTTGCTGTGCCCTCCTAGCCCTGGATATGCCAGTCTTGGTCTTGAGGTGTTAGCTCAAAGGTTTTGTTTGTCTCTCTTGTTTAATTCTGTCCCACAGCAATTTTCTGCAGCTGTTAATTGTATAACCCTGGTCAGTCAGATGACCCACAGTGTGCCAGTCTTTTCGTGAGCTGTCTCAAAGATGTTTTCAGTAAGTTGTGCAACTGTATTGTTATTGTACCAGTGAAAACAGTCTTTGCCATTTGAAAACCCAAACTGCTCTTTCATGCTTAAAAAAGTAACAAAAGAAAAAACACCACAGATTCAATAACCACATCAAACTGTCTACAGGTCATAAATATCTTCTAAAAACTGTGATCGTCACTGGAAACAGTAACTTGCAAGATTCAGTATATTGACAATACCTGCAAATTAAGACAACTCCACTTGAAAAGCTAGCAGCTTTACAACAAAGCTAGCAGTATACAACCATGCCATCAGACACGAATGGTAATGTTTCCTGAGCACAGTATTGCAGTTGCTCTGAATACTGTAAGGAGAACAATTCTAAGAGGTTCTTTTTGCATTATAATAAGCACAGTCCAGATGTCATGTATGAATTTACTTTAACACAGGAAGAAAACCACACCAGTCATACCTAACCGAGAACCATACAGAACAACCCTAAGTGCTTGCAGTATACTCTAGAAGAGATTCTTCTAGAGAAAGATTCTATCTTGAAATCAATATTTGCAGAACTGGCTCTTCTCAGGGTTGATAGCAGTCCTTCAACCTCCCTATATTAATCCAAAATGAATGCCAGGTTTCACCAAATGGAAATGGACTTTACCTAACCAATAAATACAAAATTTATCAGTACATCCGCATCTGGAATATTGCGTCCAGTTCTGGGCCCCTCAGTTCAAGAAGGACAGGGAACTGCTGGAGAGAGTCCAGCGTAGGGCTACAAAGATGACTGAGGGAGTGGAGCATCTCCCTTATGTGGAAAGGCTGAGGGAGCTGGGGCTCTTTAGTTTGCGGAAGAGGAGACTGAGGGGAGACCTCATTCATGTTTATAAATATATAAAGGGTGAGTGTCACAAGGATGGAGCCAGATTCTTCTCGGTAACAAACAATGATAAGACAAGGGGTAATGGACACAAGCTGGAACACAGGAGGTTCCACTTAAATTTGAGAAGAAACTTCTTCTCAGTGAGGGTGACAGAGCACTGGAACAGGCTGCCCAGAGAGGTTGTGGAGTCTCCTTCTCTGGAGACATTCAAGACCCGCCTGGACGCCTTCCTGTGTAACCTCATCTAGGTGTTCCTGCTCCGGCAGGGGGATTGGACTAGATGATCTTTTGAGGTCCCTTCCAATCCCTAACATTCTGTGATTCTGTGATCCTTCTCTCATAAAAGAACAACTGAAGAAACCGATCCCTGTGCAGGCACATGATAGAATGCAGTGGACTTTGTCACTCCAAATGCCCTTTTGGAAACTCAGTGCCAGGCTAAAAAAGTAATTGTGTATTAGAATAAGACTGCACTGATAACTGGTAAAGGGCAGACATTCATGGTTACTGGTAGAAGGGTATTTCTCACACATCCAAAGCTTGCTTTCTGACCAGCCAGCCTTGATCCTCAGATGAAACCAGTGAAATACTTAAAATACTCTGGGAGGTAACATTCATTACCTTACTGAATAGTAAAAGCTAGATAGTGTCCTGTTGCTGTGTTACCATGCAGTGCCAAACATCACTGTTACCTCATTTTTCTGTCCTTTGTACCTGACCAGCTTGAATGATCTTAATTCATCTGAATTCATCTAAAATCTTTATGTATTTGTGTTTAAAATAGCCTTTCCTCCAGTAGGCTTGCAAGCAATTTTTTGGCTTTGTACACTTCCACGTACTGTACTGGGTGAGAAGGGTGATCTGGTAAGAACCAGCAAAATTAGAAACTTTCACTCTCTCGATGATGGTGTTGCACGTAGAGAATTGTTTTGTGGCTTTTTGGAGACACTTAGCCCATGTTCTGAAGAGAGGTTTCTGATAGCTCTGCCTAGTTATTATTCCTTGTAAACATTGATCAGTTGATGACCAATTCCTTGCCCCCAGATATATCTGCTGTGAAATGAAGTTGCAGATCTGCTGTCAAGAAGCAAACCCACATTAGCCTTAACAGAGAGCATGTTGATCTTCATAGTGCTAAAGGCATCGCTTTGTCTGTGCAGCAATCTGGATTTCTGTGCAAGTAGACAAGCAAAATGTTTAGCGTAACGTTTCCAAGAGGACTGCTCAGATGCTGCTGGAGCCAGCTTGCCTTGTCTTTGCTTCTCTTGCCACTTTGACGTAGTCTTGGTTTTGTAAGTTCCATTGATCTGCCCCATATTTTCTTTATTTTCATCCTACAGCCTACAAAGCAGATTTACTCCAAAAAACCAAAGCTTCCAAAATACCCTTTTTTTTTGTTTGACGTAATTTTCTGGGTAACAGAGTACGCTATATGAAACCAGTACTACAGCGTTCACTCTGACCTTTTTTCTGTCAGTAACAACCTTTGGCGTCACTTGAGTGTCTCTGTATCTGGTGACTGAACGCCTCGTACCCCTCCCTTTAGCCAGTTATCACAGTGACAGCGCTCCTTTGAGTGAGGAGATAGAATGAGCGTTTGCCAATTCCTATTTCTTCAATTAGTCATCAGTTAAAAACCAAAAAAGAGCAACAGCTTGGCATCTGTGCTCTTTTCTACTTCTGCTCCTATAATCAAAGTCAGAGCTTCCATTAGAAAACCTTATTTTGCGTGTAATTTGTGTTAAAGTTAATAAAGACAGGTATATTGCTTAAGGGCAAATTAAAAGTAACGTCTGGATTATATAAGCTTTCATCTTCAGGAATGAATTGTTCCAATATATTACTAACACTTTTGTCTAATGTTTAGTTTTGTAGTCTTCAGTTTGTTTTATCTACCAGTATTTGCTCTTAGTTCGTTTAAGGCTGTTGGAAGTAATTACAGCGAAACCCATGCTAGTTTGAATGAAGAAGAGCTGAAGGTAAATCCAAGTTGGAAAGGCTGTACCTCTAGACAGAGACACACAGGATTTTTAGCCATACAGTCCTCTTCCAATAATTACTGCTTATGAGATGTGTCTGTGGCATGGATCGCATAAGTTTGGAGCAGGAAGTCTTTCCCTTTCCACTCTGGCTTCTTGCACTTTCTCTAGGTTCAAGTTAAAGATCTAAGTCCTTTATCTTTCACGTGGTTGCTGGCCCTAGTGTGACAGAACGGAAAGATGGCCAACAAATCACAGAATCAGAGAATGGTTTGTGTTGGAAGGGACCTTAAGGGTCATCCAGTCCAACCCCCCTGCCATTGGCAGGGACACTTCCCACTAGATCAGGCTGCTCAAAACCCTGTCCAACCTGGCCTTGGACACTTCTAGGGAGGGGACATCCATAAGAACTGCAGGCTGCAGGTGGGACACGAGGGCAGGGATAAAGCTTGTTTGGGCAGCATGTGGAGCTCTCCCAGGACTGCTCAGGGGCACTGTGGTGAAGGCGCAGAGAAGTCTTTGCTTCAAGTGGTGGTAGGTCTGCCTTTTTTGTTCCCTAAATTCTTACCGATTCATTGTTAATGCACAGCTCTATTTACAGTACAAGTGAAAACTGAAACAAAACTTTCCATGTCTATGTGGAGGTGGTAAAAGGCATCAAACCATCTGTGACAGATGTTAGAAATATTGCTTACAGCAGTGCACTGTGGGGAGGGTCTCTGCTGTCCTCTTCATAGAAGTGATACAAGAAGCTCAGTAAAAAGCAACTGAAACTCAGACAATTCAGGATTTTCAATACAGTGTATTTTTGCATTTAAAAGCATTATCTGCCAGTAGTTTTGTAGCAATCTTATGAATGGTTGCTTTAAGTGTGGGGTTGTCTGTTGGAGTATTATGCTATATAAATGGCATTGTTTGTTGTGGTTCAGTGGTTCTCATATTGAGTCTTTTCAGTTTTCAATTAAGAAGGGTTTTTTCTAGCTCTCAGCCTTCCAAGCTGGGCTTGCCTTGCCTCAAGAAGTTTCTTTGCAGATTAAAGTTCAAAAGGCTAAGTCTTGGTCAGTGCAGTTTTCCTGCTCTGTGGTACAGTGTCAAACTGAGTTATACAGGTTGTTCCACAGGTGATCTTGCAACTGGAATTCAAGAGCTCTGCTCCTCAGCAAATATACTTCTGATTCAGACTCATGCTATTTTTCTTTTAGACCAATAATAGTAAAGAGTAGAACAAAACAAATGTATATAACTTTTGCCAGTCGAGTAACTCAAATGCTTTTTTTGTTGTTTTCTTTTACCCCAATAAAATTGCATGTTTAAGACAGTTTGCAGCTCAGATCTTTACTTCAGTCCACTGCTATCTCAGAAATAGACAATTGGAAGCTTTGATACAGTAACAAGCATGAATAACAAAACCCAAACCAAACAGGAGTTGAAGAATGATGTGTGAGATACGGAAAATTTGGTAGCTGTTAACACTCTCTTAAGAATGACTTCTGTGAAAAGTTAACCTTGTTCTATGGTGGTGTGGAAGGTTAGATGGGAGAAGCGATTCCAGGACTACAATTGTATACAAAGGCTTTCAGGATCTTAAAATTTGCCTTATCTAAGTTAATTTATACAGTGTCTTAAAATAGCCCATTCAGAACTGGGCCTGCAAGAATGCTGATCATTAATGTTGGCACTTGCAAGATCAATAGAAATTTCAAGTAAAAAGTTACTGCATATGTACTGTTCATGATCTTGCAAATTCAGAATAATTTTCCTTTCCTTTTCCATGTTGATTTGCAGCTGCTGTTGGCTTTCTGACAATTTCCAGTATCATTACCATGTCAGCCCCTTTCTTTCTGGGTAAAGTTATTGACGTTATTTATACAAATCCCAATGAAGACTTCATTGACAGCCTGACCAGCCTGTGTGCCTTGCTGAGCGGAATCTTTTTATGTGGTGCTGCTGCTAATGCTACTCGTGTCTACCTCATGCAGACTGCAGGTAAAAACAGGAGCAAAAAGTGGTGCTGGGAGTCATTTTTTTTTCACAGAGTCAGGCTATGTAACGATCTGAAATAAGTCCTTGGCACTGGCTGAGAGATCCTCTTGGAATCAGTAGTTATTTTTTTTACCATATCAAAGGTAAACTAATAGCGCAAAGAGAAGTATGCTGGAATAATTGTTTCTTTTTATTTAATATTACGTGACATCTTAAAACTCACTCTCTTCTGGTATAGTAAAGCTCTGTAAAATTATTCATTCAGTGCTTGTAATCCTGTGATTCTTATGTTGTTGGTGTCTATGTAAAGTCTTGTGTGCCGTGCTTGACAGGCTTCTGTTTCCGACAGGCCAAAGAATTGTGAAACGCTTGAGAGCAACCATGTTCTCCTCTATTCTGAAGCAAGAAACTGCTTTCTTTGACAAGACCAGAACGGGCGAGCTGATAAACCGCTTATCTTCAGATACAGCCCTCTTGGGCCGCTCAGTGACCGAAAACCTTTCAGATGGGCTCAGGGCAGGAGCACAGGCATCTGTAGGGGTTGGAATGATGGTACGGTGGTCTCTTCCCTGCTTCTTAGTACTTGTAGTTTCAAGTCTGTTTCAGTTCTGTTAGGTAATGAATGAATGTGATTTGGGCCAGAAACTGTTGCATATTCTTGGATACAAGTGTATTTCACTGGTTATCTACAACAACTTTTATGTACTACATGGCAATAGATTATGTCCCTGTCATCACTTGATCTTTACTCAAAAGAGAACGAGCGTTTCAAATGAACTACTGGTGCTGCCCAGATTTATCAGGCAAATAGGAGGAAAATAGCTTTACTCTTACTGAAGATATTAAAATCAGTGATAATACTGTCATGGTTGTAAGTAAAACAGGGTGTGAAGGGCCTGTTGTGTACAAGTCATTGAATTGAGTTGATTCTGGCTAAAGCCTAGGGGAGCAAAGGCAGCACTGAATATCAAATTGCTGCTGAGGATTTTTACAAGTGTTAGTCCTTCTGCGTCAGTCTTTCAGTAAAGAATATGTTTAGGTAGGAGGCATTTTAATGAAAGCTTCGGTGCAGTGCATCAGTTAATATTTCTTGGTGGTCAGTTGGTTTATATAAAAATCTGACTTCCCTTGATTTTTTTTGCAGCATTTTTTTATGCTTATCTGGGAAAAGATACATCGATGGCAATTGTCTTAAATTAAACTGGTATTTTCTGCTGTCTACCTGGAGTGAAAAATAAATAGCAAAAGGTCTTCTCGTAAAAATAAGCATCCAAGATTGATTTTAATAGGAAGTGTTAGGAGTTTCCACTGTGAAGCTTTAAAGCTTTACTTTGTTGCTGATAAGAAGTATGGCTTTCTGTACTTATCTAAGCACACAGAGTCTAATGTTTTATCTTGCCATAGATTAACTGGAATAACTTTATGTGAGCTGTTTTGCTCCAAAATGCTGCCATGATGCAGTGTTAAAAAGTGGCCTATAAAAGCTTGCCCAGAAAGAAGATATTATTGTGAAATAATTATAAAGCCTGTCAATTAAATTGATTTTGAATTTTTCTGGAGATTTTTCTGTTTTCAATACAGAGAGCAAGATGAAATGAAAACACATTACATCTAATTTCAGTAAATCCTATGAAAAGGACATATTTAGTGATCATATTTAATGATTGTTACGAGTGGTAAAGCTTTGCAACAGTACATTAAATTAATTATTCCAGGTTATGAGCATTTGTGGGTGCTGGGAAGCAGTGATGACTCCATCTGTTCTTCTGTTACCCAGAAGTAGCATACAGTAATTCTCTACTCGAATTTTCTGTATTACACCATCTATTTAAAAGTTCTGAAAAGGCTTTAGAAACTACATAATAACTTATGTCTTTCAGCATCCTCAAGAGATTTCCTGGTAGGTCTTTACTGGCAGGTTAAGATACTTGGCCAAGACCATACAGTGAACCAGTGGGAAAGCTAGGAATGAAATCCAGACCCTTTTGCTTATGATCTTTTGTTCTAATTGTGGGATACATTCCCCAAATGCTATGGAGGAGTGGATAAATATGCCTGGAAGAAATAAATCATGATAAATGAAAGCATAGCAGCACTAAATTACAATTCTACTACTTCTAGAAAACTCTAGCGAGGGAAGTTGCACTTCAGTACTCCAGTGGGTTATTTTTAATCTGAGCATACCTTTTTCTTCTAGTTTTTTGTGTCTCCTAGCCTTGCTGCGTTTGTTCTCAGCGTTGTGCCACCCTTGGCTGTCCTGGCTGTGATTTATGGAAGATATTTGCGAAAACTTACTAAAGTGACCCAAGATTCTCTTGCAGAGGCAACACAGGTAATCTTTTAGCAGGCACTTTCTCATTAACTTCGAAGTTGCTCTGCTGTATTTCGCTTAGTATCTCTGCAGTTACAGATCTTCTGAAGATAATTGTACTGTTCATTGCCCCAAGCCATGCTGAGCCTGTAGTTTTGCACCTGAACAGTATGAAAGGTAAACTTCGGTAACACTTCCTCATAGATCTCAAAACCAACCATCCTTTATAAAGAGCCATCCATAACAGTATCCCTAAAAGTATAATGTGGAGGTACCAGGCCTTGAGAATTTGGAAATGTCAGAAAGGATAAGGAGGTTAGGCTTTAGCTGTGTGAGAGCACAAAAAAATAATCAGCCTATAAAGTCCTGGGAAATTTGGTACCAAAATTTAAAAAACCCTTTTCTTGGACTATGGTTATGACTTTGAAGCCATCAGAAACATCCCAGATGGATCTGTCTTTTAAGAAAACTTTGCTATCAAGTCCTTTTCTGGAATGAATCCTTGATATTTGAATTTATTGTCAGCTCTTTATTGCTTATGAGGCTTGACTTTTTTAAACTGTTATGGCACATACTCAGATATTTGGGAGGAAAGTAGAAGAAGCTGTTGTTTCTGAAGAGGCTGTTGTAGAAGGGCCTTCATTGCGTTTGAAATATTGCAAAATATTGTCTGAGAAATAGTAGTGATAGTGACCTTTTTCTCACAGGCTGAGGGTGGGGAAACATCATTAAAATGCATAGAAATATAATTAGGAAAGACCTAGTTAAAATAGCCGCAGTTGTCAGCTGTTGTAAATTTGGGATATCCTGGGTAGGACTTCTGCAAGTTGACTGTGCAGAGGGAAGATCGGCCCTTTTCTGTTTATCTTCCTCATCCTGTGTTGAAGGGAAGCTCATGCCTTTGTAAACCAGCTGTGGGGCTTCACATGAACAAGCAATTTTAGGGTTCCATTCAAATTTTCAGGTTGAACGGGCAATGGAACAAAGAGAATGACATGTTTATTATCATATATTTTACTCACAGAAGGGGGCCTTGTGGGGATACCATCACAGTGTCTATGAACAACTTAGTCTAATTGGTTACAACTGAGGTAACTTTAGAATTAATACTTTGCTGTTCAGAAGTTAAAATAAAATACTGAGTTGAAATGGGACATTAGCAGTTTAGCTAAATTAATTCCCAGTGTTGCTTTTATCAAACGAATGGAATTGTTTCAGGGAATAACTGCAGGCTTTCTTGCAAGATTTAGTGTAGAATAAGATATTCTTTATTTTTCCCCTTCCCACATTGTTATTGCAAGTTATTGTGAATAGTAATTTTCTTATATGTGGTTCACTTCAAATTAAGAGGTTTTTTTAACCCTACTTTAATGTTTTTCTTTCTCTGCTAACACTTAAGGCAATCCTGAAGTTCTTTTTAAACTGCCTGGGCATGCAGTTTACTTTCAACTTAATGGAATATAAAGAACCCAAGCAAATGTGGGAGAATGGGGGAAGAGGGCATGAGAAATTTTCCAGTGGTATCTACAGGAATGTATTTGGAGATTAATGTAATGATATTGGCTTAACTTTGCAATGTTCTGTAATATGGACATTACAAATTAGCTGTCTGTGTGCATTTCTTTTGTTCTCTGTTTTAATGTAGTTAGCTGAAGAGCGTATTGGAAACATAAGAACAGTTCGAGCTTTTGGGCAAGAAATGTCTGAAATGGAGAAGTACACAAATAAAGTGGATTATGTGCTACAGCTGGCTAAAAAGGAGGCACTAGCTCGGGCAGGCTTCTTTGGAGCAGTAAGTGTATTTTGATGAAAGTAAACCAACCATGTTATGCCAAGTGTCAATTATTTTAAAATTTATGAAGATACTTAAAAATCTGCAAATAAATGATTTGGGTGTAAACTGAACCCACGTGAAACTGTGGGAAGACTGGAATTAAATAAATCTAAATTGCTGCTTTGAAACTGCACCTCAAGATACAGTGGTATGATAAAGCCTGTTTAAGTCTCTATTCCTTCCCCACACCCCATAGCTTGGTACTGTTTATTTGAGCCCACACCTCCTATTCGGGGAACTAAAGCAGTGGAAACCTTCCCCCACTCTTAGTGCTTTATAGGTTTGGCTTCCTGATGAGGTGAGCATCCATGCAAAGGAAGCTGAGGAATGCTCAGGTGGGAGAAGGAGAGCGGGTTTGCATTTTTCCCAACAGCTTGCAGTGAGTTTGCTTAATAGCATTCTAAAACTGCAACATAACTGCAGACAATCAACTCTTCTCCTTTTAATGATGGTTGAGAATAATGTTTGGGGCTCCTTTCCATCTCTGGGAATGAGATTAAAAAACTCAAACCAACAGAATTGCTTGCTTTTTGAACGCTTCTTGGATAGCACGGTTCAGTGCCACTGGATGTCTGCCTGGCTGTTGGCTTGATTTGCTTTAGAATTGGTTTTGTTCAAATTTTACTTGGTCCTCTAAAAATCTAAATACCCATAGTATGGGAATTCTTTTATCAGAAGGAAAATTCTGAAACAGCAGTTTAGAAGATGAAGTTTAAGATGTGTCAAAATCTGCCTCTTCTTTTTCTTTTTCCCTAGACTGGCCTTTCTGGAAACTTAATTGTCCTTTCAGTCTTATACAAAGGAGGATTACTAATGGGCAGTGCCTACATGACAGTTGGTGAACTCTCATCTTTCCTAATGTATGCTTTCTGGGTTGGAATAAGCATCGGAGGTATGGAACAAGAACTTGGATTTTCTTCACTTCAAAGCTTTACAGTCAGGAATGAGGTGGGAGGGAAGAAGCTCTTAAAAGATCTGGCTTTCTTAAAAAGTCCCTTCCAAGCGATCTTCCCATGAAATCATACCTAGTTTATTTTCTGAAGAGTTGATTAATATAATAATTTGTAACTTAATCTTAGTTTAAGCCTTCTATTTTCCCAAAGGAATACAGAGGTTATTTTTTCAATGTGTGTATGTGACAGATATATATTACTTTCATTTGCTTTGGGTCTAAATTAAGATACTTGGTATATTGTATAAAGAACTGTGTTATATTTTTACTAAATATGTGGATCTAAGTATACTCCATTTAGAAAGGCATGTAGAATTTAGCTGTCATTCAGTACAGAGTGTTTTGAGCTGGAAGAGTAACAAAGTGCCAGCAGAACACTATACTCTGCTGCTAACATTTTGCTTTTCCTTACTGACTGACTCCTCCTTGAAGCTCAGACGCTGTAATCTACTGGCCCAGAAACAAACTGTTCATCTTTGTGACAGAGCAGTCTTCGCTACTGCACACAGGCAAAAATGAAGATAAGGTACTTTGAAGTTTGACAACTGATTGGAAGGGTTCTTCTTTAAAATTAGCCTGTTACTTCTGATAGACAGCGCAGCTTGTCTACACCCCTCTTTTCTAAGGCAAAGCCTGATACTGTGGGAAGTGTGAAGATGTTCCTGAGGGCAAAATTCACAAAACCTGCTTCCTCGGATATCAGAATTCCAGTGGCACCCATTCCAACTACCAAAACCCTTTCTTCTCTGCTTGAATCATTCAAGTTCAGTCAACAGACAGATACCTGACATGTTGAAAGCATGGGACAAATTGATGTTAAATAAATGGAAAATAAGGTTAGAAAGACTGATAAAATGTCATTGAATTAACTTTTATTTGTGATTAAAAACATAGTTTTAAATTCTACTTAAGATTATTGAAGAATATAGCTCCACACAGAGCTCATTCTCATGGGGACTCCGAAGTAAAGGTGTCTTGCCACAAGAGGCCTGCTTTCCTTAACGCCTACAAAGCATATAGACATATAGATCTTCAGAGTGCTAAATCTGCTCGGTATATGTCATCGTTCAATACACGCAGGAGTTTGTGCAATGAACTGTGAAGTTCACCGCATAATTTGGGACTTTGCCTCCTTTTGCTGTAACAGTTTGCTCTGTGTTCTACCAAATACTGAAGACAGGTTATGAAAAAGAAAAACATTTCCTAATTAATATTTGCTGTCCATCTTACATAATTTATTTTTTAATGAGTGGTGGTGAATTTGCAAACCTTACTGTATCGGTTTCAAGGTGCTCTGTGAGGCTGATGCCTTCTCGCTTGTGCCCTGCTGTAGGATGTAGACGCTTTAGCTCTTTTCTCCAAGCAAGCAGCTTCTCACCATGGCCCGTGCGATGTGTTGCAAGCTTTCAGATATTCCTCAGCAGCAGCGTGATGAAATGGCCTGGCTGCACTTACAGACTCATGACCTTGTGCTGGGCTTGTTGCTCTGCAAGAATAAACCAGTAAACCTATTTTATTATACCTTGGGTTTTCTGCCCTCCTGAAATCACTCTTAACGCTATACACATTTTAAGGTGGAAGTGGTTTATTCTCTTGGAATTCAGAGATTTTGAAATGGATTACTCTGTTTTGAAACACACAGGAAAGATTAAGAAAAAGGCATTTTATATTTGTGTCTTACTCCATTTTTGGTTCTCGGTTGGCTTTTCTGTTTATTTCAACTGGAAATCCATGCCAGCTCCAAGATGATTCACACAGCTTCTAAGTGGTGCTGTGTGCAAGCCTTGTCCTTAGCTTTTGCTTTCTTCAGTAATGTTTGAAGCATGCTGACTTGGGAGACACCTTTCTTTACACTGCCTGTTCTCCATCTAGCTTCTCAAGCCTCAGTTCAGCCTTAGGTTTTGTGCCCTCCCTCCCCTGTGGCTGACTCAGCACTAGTATAACAATATCTGAAAAAGAAGGGCATTCAGAGTGCTCCAGCCTACGGAAGGATTTTGAAAATATAGCTGGTTGTATGCAAGGCTATCTAGCTAAGGTTGGATGCTGTTCTTCCTGACAGATGAGTGAAGAAGAGTTGCTTTTCTTTTGAGTGTATCCAAGCTTGCATGTATTAACTTAGGGGGTTTTTTTCTTTTCTTCAGAATGATTTGTGTTACAGATGTAAATAAGAATGGTCAATAAGTGTTATTGGTAGCTCTGAAGTGAGACTAGATAGGATTTAAATCAACACATCTGATAGTGAGTTGGAGTCTGGAGGTCCCCTACAAGTCTGATGCTTCAGTGCTGGTGATGAAAAATATAGTGCAAATTTAATGTCTCCTACATCTTCTATTTCATATAGACACGTAATATTGGTGTGGTTTTTGTTTAGGTCTGAGTTCCTTTTATTCCGAACTAATGAAAGGACTCGGTGCTGGAGGACGTCTATGGGAACTTACTGAAAGGAAGCCCCAACTTCCGTTTAATGGTGGGTCCTTGGTTTGTTATTGTTCATAGGTTGATTTTTCTCTTATTGGTCGCCTGCACTTCAGAAAGAGGTGCATAATACTTAAAGCTAATAACAACTTACATTCTTTTGAAAGGAACTAGATACAGTGGTAATTCTGGGTCTTCCTATCTATGAAACCAGATGATGATTTCCTTTAATCAGAAGTTTTAGAAGCTGAAAATTTGGTGGGTTTTTTCTTTAATTAGTTCAGAATATTTAATAATCTTTAAATACAATAAATAAAAATATATTTCCAGCAACACCTTATTTGTGGCTTTCTTGTTCAGAAGGTAGACAACACCCTCCAGCATTGAGTATATTGTATATAAACTGCATTTGCTTGTCTCCATCAAATCAGTTCAATGAAGCTGCTTGTAGAAGATACTTTCTGTGTGAATTGCTGTTTCATTTTATTAGCTGCATCCCACAAAGCAAGTGTCATACATGAGTTTTCACCAGCTCTGTATTACAGAATCACAGAATCGCTTGGTTGGA